TGATAATTAGAGTCGGAGTAAATCCTTGCTACAAGCTATATGAGAATGGAGGAATAAAAAGGGAATATGAAAGGCATGCAAGTAAGAATGACTGTGTGTGTGGTCTTAGCTGGCAGAGTTAGTCCCATGACCAGCTCCACAGTGTGTTTTGGAAATGGAGCAAATGTCACAGGAAGCACAGCGGCTGGAATATGGAAGAGCAAAGTGATTTGAAGTGGAAAAGCAATGAGACAGGGAAGTTTTCAATCGGCAAACAACAGCTCCAGTGTTTGCGTGAAAGGGACAACACAATGCTGGCAGTAGCAGTGGGAATCAACCAGACTCTCTTACCTTTGCCAAGTGGGAATTGATCCATTTTGTGAATGTCCTTTTCTGCACTGCCTCCTGCTCATCTGTAAATCAGAGCCCAGAGCATCACTATCAGTCACATGCAATAATAAACAAAGAGGGGATTAAAACACAATCTTCTCATTGTCTATTGTTATGAGAGTTGATTGGGTTTTGCAGAGCTGGATGGCGACTGTAATTAACTGTGATATTATTACTTTCTGTCTAATGTGTCTGAACACAGTCAGAACAAATCATACCTTACACCGATGTAGAAAGAGAAGGCATTTGACATTTAAAGATGGCATTTTCACTAGCTGGACTCCTCTTAGTGCGGACAGAAAATCCTGCTCTTAAAGATGCCCTTTAGATGATGGAAGGGCAGTGGTTCTACCTATATGATGACATGTACGTCTACCTTGATCTATAAGATGGTTTTATTCATTTTCGAACCACAGTTCAAGCATGCAATATGTTACTCCAACACTGTGCAGTGCAATAATAACCTTAACCTAAATGTACAGATGTACCCAATATAGGGAAGGACATTGTTTGCGGTGGCTACAGCGATAAAGCCCATTTAGCAAAGGCACAATCAATAGCATAGATGTCTGCTGACGATGTCCCCTAAAAAGCCACTTAACTTAAATGAGGACATAAATCAAGCCTCTCACATGTGCACAAGCAAACATACAGTATATTAAATACACACTTTTACACACAGGGAAACAAAGTATAGAGTACAGTATATGTTCTGCATGCTTTTTAGAACCAACTAATGCAGTCTTGCTTTAATTTGACAGCACATTTCATTGTTGCCTGCAGCCCATGTAAAAACTATTGGGACTTCTACGACGGTTACATCTGTAATTGACACATTCATGTGCAACTGTCACATACGTCCAATTATAATGTATACAAACAGATCTATAGTCTACCTGGGACTATTGTGAGTGACATATGTGACAAGGTTTTTTTTTTCTGTCCCGTCTGTGCCACAGAGCAATATCCCTGAGATAAGCATGTTATCAGTGAGAGAGGACGTCTGACACAGTCCTCTACCTTAATGAAATATGCTGACGGTTTGATTACACACAAGTTGGTTAGTGTGTCACTAGGTACTGTGGGCAGATGTGAACAGTAAGGGGTGGGTGTGCATCGGAGAGGTGGTGGTGGTGGTGAGGGGGTGGAGTTGTTCATACATAATGCAGATACATTCACGCATAGTCATACGTGCCACTGAGCAGGTCCCCATTCAATGAATTAATCTCATGATTGGGTCCAGGAGTAATCAAATATTGATGGGCGGTAATATTGGAGGAGAATGAGAAAGATTTAGCCCCCTCATCCTTGAGTAAGAACACGTGTGACAGAGAACACGTCTGCAAGAACGCGGTGCCAGCCTCTCAGTCTCAGGGACGAGGTGACTTTGAACTATGCGCACACACAAAAACACTTAAGCACACACACACACACACTGCACAGATTCACATTCTTTCAATATCACAAAGGGAAACAGCAGTACTCCACATCCAAGCCTCGCAGCAGCGTTTTAACACACTTGATTACCTTCTCGGCTAGTGTTGGTCTGTATCATCATTAGTCTCATGCTCAGCCCCTGAGTTCCCACTTTGACACCCCCACAGTGAAGATGACCTTAATGAAATATCATTAAAATCTAGATTGTTGTCTCAGCGGTTGTGTTTATTGACTATTTTTTTTTAATAAGACTGGAACAAAAAAAAGAGAGAAAAGGAAGGGAGTACACATGCTCTGTTTTGCTCATTTCTCTATAGGATAGACAGCTAATGTGACAGGAAACAAATCCAAAGAAACATTATGGTAATGTCTGTTCCAATCTAATCTAATCTTTCATACAGAATGCTGAATGCATGATATCCAAATACAGAGGAGCAGACAGGCAGACCGCTACAGGGTCAAACAGAGAGATAAGAAATCAAACATTTTGACAGTCTGCCCGCTGCGCTGTGACACATGCAGTGAGCTGGTACTTGTCTGCTGGGAAAGCTTGCTTCACCTGCTGTAGGCTCCACACACACACACACACAAACAAACAGGCACACACACTCTGCCAAGGTGGAAACGCCCCCCTTCACATTTCTGCCCATTTTGCTTAACACACACCACACTGCAGCCCCCCCGAGAAAAAACCTTGCCTGTAGGGAACTCTTACTAAGGAAATTACACTGCAAAATGCACATGCTCACATACAGTAGGCACATACAGTCCATACTGCAGTGCCACACTAATTCACACACGCAGCATACCATATCGCAAGATACACACACACACACACACACACACTATGTACTTGCCTTCTTTTTCTCTCACTATCCATCTCAGTAGTGGACACACATTCATGCACACACTGTCCCACTTACCGCGGAGGTAGTGGTAGAACCCCGTCACCAGGTTGAGGGATGTGTTCTTTTTTGGGGAGCCTTCGCCCCCTCCTCGTCGTGCCATATTGTACCCGAGACTACGCCTCGCTTCCCGCCTGTTTTCATGGGGACGTTGAGAGGACATTCACGGCAACCTCCGGGAGATGCTACACTTGCCCTTGCTCCTGCCCTTGCTGCCACTCCCCCCTTTCTGGGGAGGTGTTTTTAAAAGAGCTCCCTGGAGCGCTGGACCTCCCGTGATGACAGCGGTGAAACTGTTGCTCTGAAGGCAGAGCAGGAACGAAGGTGTCACCCTCCTGTTCTCCTCTCGTCTTTTAACGTCTTGCTGTCCTCTGTCCTGTCCTGCAGACTCAGACTCAGTCAGTGTTTTTCCTGCCTGTTAAGCAGCTTGCGAGTGTGATGTGAGTGTACGTGTGATGCAAAGACTGTTTGTGTGTGCGTGTGTGTGTGTGTGAGAGCAGTGCAGCGCCGGCTTGCCTCAGCATCAATCTGTCTTGCTTAGTCCCTTTCTCCCCCTCTCTCTCTCTCTTTCTCTCTCCAACACTCTCTACCTCTGTCTTTCCCTCCCACGTTCTCACTCTCTCTCGCTCTTTTAATTTCTCACCGTCGGCTGCGGGAAAAATCCACTTCCCTCCACTCACCAGCCAATCAGAGTGCGTGGGAATGAGTGATGTCACAGCAGCCCCATCCTGATGTGGAGAGCGGTGAGGAGGGCGGTGGGCGGGTTGAAGGGAGACCGTTTAGCAGGTTAGGAGGGTAGGAAGTGGGAGCTCTTCTCTGACAGCCTCACACACAAATGCTCCAACACAGCGTTGGGACAGACGTGCAGGAATTCCCTGTGTGTTGCTGGCACTCTAATACCTCTCCTCTCTCTCTCTCTCTCATCCACGCAGATACCATGCGGTGCTCTGAGGCTTGCAGCTTTCTACTCTAAAGAGCCTGCAGGGGAGCAGACTATCACTGGCAGTGGTCCTGTCTGATCTGCTACAGTACTCTCTTCAAAAGGGATCCGCTTTCATCTCAACCACAGTCACATACAGTACATCTGTCTGTTTGTTTTCTCCGGGGGGCGGGGGGGGAGCGAGTACTGAATAGAGCTGAATACAATAGAGGTGAATGCAATATCTGAGGTTAGGTTTTGTACACACCGCAAGATCGGAGTTTCAGACGTTATAGGCAAGTCTAGAACAAAAGAAACAATGTTAGGTGTGTTGTTACATTCATTCACTCTGCATTCGCGATCGGTATTGCAGTGGAAATTGTGTTTCGGCTTGCAAAACTTAAGCTTCAAACCAGGGCGGAAAACAAACAACACTGCAGACAATGGTAGTATTGTTCATACAGCTACTGTGAATTCAGCCTCTAAAGAGACACTCTCCAACTGCAAGGGCTACTACAGCTGATACAAGGAACTGGATCAGAAGCAAACCTGTGTCACGGAGCCAAAATTACCCCCAACCCCCTCCACTGCTGCAGTAAATTTATAGCAGAGAATACTAGTGTTGCATTACGTTGGCCTCTTCTCCTTTTTGTCTGATTTGTATCCTTCTGTCTGACCTATTCTCTCTTCTTATTCAGTCTCTCTTTTTTCCTCATATTTTGTCCCTCAAACACACACACACACACTCTGGCAATATTAAAATCACTGGGCTCTTCTTTGAAACCATATTCAGAGAGTTTCCAGGAAAGGCAATATTCATGCAGAATAGCGTGGTGGGTCTTATATCAGCCCTAAAGATGAAAGGACCATTCATCATTTGTGTGATTTTCCCCTTTGTTCTTTGGGTTCCCCCCATAAGGGATTTTAATTATGAAAGTCATCAATAACCAATGGCAGCTGTCATCCGCTATCTGTCTGCTGATAATCACACTGCTGACACTCCTCCCGTTAATAGCCCTGAAACTGGCCGTCACAGTGCCACCATGAGCCTATTGCACGGACCTGTCTTTGAAATGAGCGTCTGTCAGCGTCTTTTTACATTTCTGTACATACAGTATGATTTCTGTGTATGTGTACAGGTATTATAGATAGACTAAGGGTAAGAGTTCAAAGAAATAATCATGCAGTCCTGTCTTTCGTATTTACATATACATTGCCTTTACTTGCGCACTCTAGACAAAAAAAAAACAACAACACCTTTTTATGCCAGTGGAAAGGAGAATCCAGTGGGACATTCAAACTGCACACACTCACAGTCCCTACTCGATAATATACTGCAAGAAAAATCCTTTGGCCAAAACTACAGCCAGACAAAAGCCAAAAATCTATTGCCTTTTACATACTGTTGTTTGTGCAGCCAACACAATATCAATGATGTAAATAATGGAACATACTATATTGACTGATCAGCCTGTGCACAATTTGTTTCTATTTATATCAGTTAGTCTGCTAATTTAAAGGTGTTGTCTGATAAATTATTCCTCGAGAGCTACAGCTCAGACGTGTGAAGGAACTATCCAAGGTGCTGAACCCTTCAATGAGGATCCTCTTAGTCTGACAATAAATTTGGTTTAATGCAATACATTTATGAGGATGAAGACCAATTACAGCCATGCTGGAAGTCCAAATAGTCTATAAAGACACAACAAATCTGGTTTTATTGGTGTGTTTTAGGCAGAAAGCGAGAAAGCTGAACTTCCCCGGGGAGCAAAACTGTTTAGAAAAACAACCGCGGGACAAAATCAAAACAAGATGGTGAGGATTCATGGAACTTATTAGACTTCACCATGGGAGTTGAAATAAGCGAGCAGGTGCACACATGCACACACACAATGAGATAAGCTGAATGGAGGCAGAATCATTTCCATGTCTACTGTATGTGCGAGAATAAACCAACAGACTCCTTTAGGCTGCAGACCTCAAGAGTGTTATAGTCTTTCCAAGAAGGGAGAGAGAGGGGAGGGGGGGTGTCTGAAGGGTAAAACAGACTGAACCTCAGCTGGTCTGGATCCCTAATGGAGCCCCTGGCAGCCCTACAAAACACCAGATCCCTCTCTGAGGTTGCAGAGGTTGGACGTGGGTCAGCGCCCAACGCTCACACAGGTATGTCTGTGGGGTGTGAGGCTTCCTGAGGAGAGGAGGAACAGCCTCTTTTCAGCCATTAAAGGAAAAACAAACGGCCTCCTGGAGGGTGGAATAACGCTGCTTCTGCTCGTATTGTAATCTATTCACCCTAAGGATATTTGGGTTTGCTTTCTGAGCAGCCAAGACTTCTTATTTAGCCTTATGAAGAGTGTATAGAGACACAGCGCCACCTAGTGGACGAGTAACGCTTTAAGTGTGTAAAGTTCTCTTTGTAAGCGTCTGCTCTGAAGACGTACTGAACGGACAGAAGAGACAAGACAGGAGAGGAAAAATGAACAAGCTCAGCTTTTAAATTCGAGCCTCCCAGATGACCCTGCTCTGCACTTGAGCATCTCTGATCTCTCTTAATCTATTAATGACACCACAATTCACCAGCCGTGGTTATGCTCGGTCAGATATGGACAGGCACTCCACACATACTGTACAAGGTTACACACTCTGCTCTGAAGTATTAATTTAGTAATGGATTCATTCAATTATATCATCTTAATATTATTCAAGCTGGTGGACATTTAAATTCAAAGAACAGTACCATACTATGGACCTATGAATAGTTCTGGTGAGAGTCACAGTGGCAGTGTTGATACACAATGCTGCCTTTTAGATTTCTCTAGTGATAATACATTTATTTTCTTCTACAGTAGAACATTAGTGGAACACGCCTGTTAAAGCTATCATGCCCTAAAAGGATGGCTTTGTTGTGTACTAGAGAGGTACCCAGTAATTGCTCTATATACTCACACACACACAGATACAAACACATTCAAAGGCACACATGCACACACACACATTCGTAATCCACCGCACTGACACACAAAGTGATTTAACAGGTTTTGGTGGCTTTTCTGCCCCTCTACTCCTCCCAATAGCTTCTTTATCCACTTCCTGATTCCAGCTCTTCTCTTTCACCCCAACAATTCCTAATTTAAAAAACCCTTCTCTGCACTTCCGCCGGAGTACTTTAGCCCTAACACTCAATAACACCCTCTATCACACCCTCAGCACCTCCACTCAACCCTCACATGCCCATTCAGCCTCTCCATTCGCCTCCCACTTCATTTACGGCACATTTTTACCAGTCCCAACATAAGTGCTGAGACGGAAGTCCAAATGCCAGCCCATTAGCATAGCTAATTACATTTCAGTAATAATGACACCACATTAAAGAGAGTAAGAAGGGGAACAAGTCAAAGTGATTATCAAAACAACCCCCTTCCTCTTTCAAGCACCATCACTCCCTTTTCAGGACCAGATGTGCAGAGAAGGCACTTTGTCGTTAACAAAAATGTCCAAATATCACAGTGTTCATTAAAGCCAGGCCACTGATACAGTAATTTCAGCAATTTCAGCACCTGCAGTACTGACACACACACACACACACACACGCTTGCAAGCACACACACAAACACACATAGCGAAACGAAGCAACTGAGCAATGTCAATGATTTAAAGTGCAAAAAGTAAAAGATATTTATAAATCTAAAGAAACAAATGGAAAATGTAGTAAAACTGATTAAAATAACGAAATATAACGTCACATTTTTGAACAAATACATTTGAGACTACTATTATCACCTAGGGTTAAAAAAAATACAGCTATTTCAATTATTCATTTGATTAATTTCTGACAGGGATGCTGCCGAAAATCAAATACTATCCTGTAGCAAAACAGTGTTACATTGCGCCTTATTGAATTTGAGCTACAGTCTTCTTTCTATTTTTGAAGGGCTTCTTTATCAGGTAAATACATTCAGCTGAACAAAACCACATTTTAACACCATACACAAACAGACTGAACACGCTGCTGATACAAAGCATCTCTTCCACTGGAGGCACCAGGGGTCATATCAAAACCCCACTCAGTGGCTCTAAGAGCATTAGAAAGACTCAATTTGGCTTTGAAAAAATATTTTCAGCTTGATGTTTCTCTGCTGGTCTCTCTATGAATGTGTGTGTGTGTGTCAGAGCCCGTGTGATGC